TTATTAACTCGTGGCCACAAAATAATATCTCATGGCCACGGCTTAGCTATCTTGTGGCCACGACTTAGTAACTTGTGGCCACGACATAGTATCTCGTGCGCACTTGATAAATAAAAACATACACAAGTCACCTTTGTGCCACCGTAATCTTAAGCCCAACATGCAATATTCATTTTATAACCATTTCTTGGGATCTTTTTTGTACATTTAGTTTTTATATACTCATCAATTAACATTATGAAATCATTCGTCTTAAAGCTGCACTCTCACAGATTGACAGTTTTGACATTTTTTTCCCAGAAGAAGCTGATTTTGGCAGCAGTTCCTTCAATTCAGTTTTAAGCTGACACTGTGAACAAGGTCCCGTATTCATAAAGCATCTTAGTGAATAATTTTAACTTAGTGAAAACAGATATTTTTTTTTTGACAACTTGAATTAAAAAAAATCTAACAATGTGTGTACAAATTTAGTTTGAAAATAGGCAAGGAAATGTCCTAATTAATAAAAACACATTAAAAATGTTGTGGATGGTCATGGGTATTGGAAATAAGCCATGTCAAAAATTAGGAACTTTTCAAGAGGATGAACTATTTTACTAAGAAGTTTTTTTATGGCCCAAGCACTTTGAACAACTGTTCTATTTTATAATTATTTTCTTGATAAAAAATAATTCTAAAATCATTGATTTGGAAATGTGCAACTTGTCATTGTCAGCTGGAAATATAATTTGACCCATAGAGTTTCAGAAATAAATACAAATATTGGTCAAATCGTTTTCTATATATATTTACCTTATTTCCTCCATAGTGGAAATGGAAATTTTAAAACGAAGGGACGTAATTTGGTAAACTGAATCTGAACCGCAATACAGACTTTACCGAGAATATAAATGTAGCACCACCTGTTAGCATAATTTGGGTGTCACATAAAAAATATTATTATTACACGAGATGTCGCGTCGTATTATGCTTGCTGCATTTGGCTTTCGGTCATGCGTCATTTTAGCTTATGACATTCGTCATTCATGCTGAGTAAATAGACCAAAATACAAACAGTTGCAGGTTAAGGTATTGAATTAATATACCAGATCAACAAACGAATAATAATTAATCGTTGAATAACGATATCAACATACAATTAAGCATGACGCACACAGCAGAAAGCATAATGTGCATGTAAGAAAGCAACGTGTAAAAGTCAGAATGCAAGATGTACAAGTCAAAATGCAAGATGTAAAAGTCAAAATGCAAGATGTACAAGTTAGAAAGCACGATGTAACGTAAGAAAGCAAGATGTAATTTTGGCGTTAATATCCTTCCATACTAAAGTAAGGATAATTAATAGACAAGAGGACCGAGTGTTTAGGGGAAATATGAAAAAAAAAACTAGAGGGATATTAACCGAAGACGACATAAACCTGAAACGTGCTATGGCTCTGGAACTGAAAAACATAGATGGACACACAACTAGTTTAATGGAGCGCTCAAAATCACTGTTAGCCGCAATAGACAGTGTAGATAAATTCAATCCCCGCATGTCAAATTTCTATTTAGCTTTTAAGGTAAGAAGAGGTTAAATAAGTTTGTGTGCTTTTTTGGGCTTAACAGCGACATCGACACATTACTTGTCATACCGCGCCGAACACAGTCGGTACAAGTGATTTAGTTAAATACGAGTTGACTTCCTTTAAGTGCAATATCCATTGCAAGCTATACACAATGAAACATCTTATTTCGTTAAAAGGTAAGAATAATTGGTCAAATTCTACATCAAAGAATCACAACTAGACCATGACGATAAAGGAGAAATAGAGATGGTGATTTATCAAAACAGAGGTTGCAAGCATGAAGTACTAATTAAATCAAAGTACTAATTAGAAGAAATGTACTGATATAGAATTAAAAAACACTATTTGTTAACTTAACGATAGATCTTCTGGTTTTGAGTATAAAGGTCCTTTAACAAACCCATCTTCTTTTTTCAATTTCTAGTACTTCAATGTGGTTACAGCATACTTTGACATTGTTAAATATAATGAAATCGCAAAAGGAATTTTGATACCAATATGTCATTGGAAATTCGATTTTAATTAATACTTACTAACTAGTAGGGCCAATTAGAGCAAGTCTGAACAAAATATTCAATTTGTTTCCATTATACGTGAAATGTTTGACAATGCTAGATTAATGGCTTTCACCACTGCAGTAACTTAAGATGGATAATCATGAAGTGCTTTACATCATGTAGAGACAAATAAAAAGACTATTCTCGAAATTTCTCAATGCCATAACGGAAGACGGAGTATCAAGAATATCACATACAAATGCCCGTTGTAACAATCCAAAAGAGGACAACAAAGGCTAAATCAGTCTCGGAGAGTTTTAAGAACTGTTCAAAATGTGAAAAATATACAGTAACAAAATCAATTTGTATAAGTTTCTTATGCCAGAATTCAAATTGCCAATAAATCTAAATGAGCGTTAATATTTACAGATAATATGGTTTCAATCTAATTTACTTTTATTGAAGTCTAGTTGTCGGCGATCTTTTTTATTTGATACGTTTTCAAAATGAAATAATATGAGGAAATACTTGACAAGCATTCACACCATAACAATTCAGAATTCATGTCTGTCATTCTGGTAAAATTTTTTTTGACTAGGAAAAGTTTTGCAACTACTGTGAAACACTTATTTTTCGCGAGAACCTTATTTCGCGAATTTGAGGCAAAATGTCCAAAATAATTATTTCGCGTCAACATGAATTCGCGTCTTCCCGAAAAATGTGAAACCGGAAACCCGTTTCATTCAGATATTTTCTGTCCTTTCCGTTCACTAACTTTTCGTCGTTTATTGTGCGACGAATGCATTTATATCTGTATCGATTTTTCTGATAGCTTGCTAATCTTCTTGATAAGTGAAACCGTCTGTCTAAAAAAATATGTCAATAAAAATTGATAATTATTTGATATGTGTTCACTGTGTTTAAGTTTCACTGATTAGCCATTCAAAGGCAAGCAGACGAAAATCAATTAAACGGTACTGTCATTTGCCTAACCTGTAGAAAACGATTATGTTTACCCTCCGGCTTAAACTGTAGTACAATACAATAGGATACAATTAATAGAAATGTTACAAACAACTCGCATGTGCTAAAGTATTTGTACCAATTAGAACAATCTGTAGAAATACCATTAAAATTTGTGAGATGCATTAATTTGTTTATACTTAATTCTAGTGCAAGTCACAGTTACCTTCCTTGACAGAGGTAATATGCAGCGAAGAAGTTTTTTTGCCAATTCCTCAATAATACCAAATTGTTACAGGTATATATTTCATACTAGTAATCTGTACGGTATGTATATGCTGCAAAACTTGAATAGCTACATGATGTAACTAGAACTGGTTTCGATACTTTCCCGCAGATGTATATCCATGTGTACGTATTTTTGGATAGTGTTCATTTTCGAACAAGTGTATAGACAAAGTGAAATTTTCGCGAGAGATATGAATACGCGTCTGAGAAAACTCGCGAATATTAGCGAAAATAAATTACTTGCGAATAATAAGTGTTTTACAGTATCAATTGACGAGTACGATCGATAAACTGAAGGGTTATAAAGAATTGATCACATTAGCATGTGTCACAATACTATTTATTAAAATATAAAATGATTATTGAATATATTGATTACCTGACATTGAGGGATTTAACAAATCAACACAAAATATTTCTTTTTCAAAAATACATTTTATTTTCAAGACTGTTTTTAATTGCATATTGTGTTGAAGAATGAGTATATGAAGTATATAATTATATAAAATATTTTTAATCTTCCTTTTCAAAGAAAGAAATCACAATTCAAAAAATGAAAACAAAGGAAAAAACCCTAACATTTTGACGCTTTATATTATTTTTAACAGTAACTTACCAAACAGCACAATTATAAACCTGATGAATGGACAAATACCTTTATAAACACTTTTTTACTAAACAAGACATAATAGAATCATTAAATATTTCTATTATTCTATAGATGAATATAAAAAAAGGAAACATAAATTTATTGTAAATTTAATTCAAGAATAAGTCACAAATGTAATGAATTTTATTTGTTTTACTATTTCTGTTGTGATCTTTGAGTTGAATTGATCATAAGTCCAGTAGGAGCAGTAGTCCAGTGGTAGGTCGCGCGCTTAGGGATCGAGAGGTCCTGGGTTCGAACCCCACCGGGACACTGCTAATTTCCTTGAGCAAGAAATTTACCTGTGATTGCTTCACTCCACCCAGGTGTAAATGGGTACCTGCGAGGGTTGTATAATTCCGTTGCGCCAAAATGTCGGCTGCACTAAGTGGATTTAAAAGACTCCCGTGGAAGATTGATAGATATATACCAGTAGTCCGATGACCAGGGGTAATAGCTGTAAAGTCGGTGAATGTGCGAACACATGAAACTGAGACTATAAAATGCAATTACTAAATTACTTTATAATGGCATGATCATAGCTTAAAATAAGTCAATGAAATCACATATATTGTATCACAGTTTCATACTTTCGGAACACATGATAATTCATGAAATCCAGGAAAATATCAATTTAGTAATTAACATATAATATCTATCTCAACATGATTCTTAACGAAGCATAGGAAAAAAAGAAAACTTTATTTAAATAAAAAATCATTACTAAAATACCGCTTCAACACATGGATAGTCCGAGCGCGAGCATTGGAGCTAACTGGGATATACGAACATGGAATTATTTTCTAAATAGAGTTTTTCAAATAGTTGAATATAATTCAATCAAAAATAATCAGGAAAAAGTACTGCATGTGCAGTAGAATTAATATTTTTTATAACGTTGTTATGAACATAATAAATGAACTTATACATTCTAAAATTTTAATCATCACCGATGCAACTAATTTGAAATACTTTCAGTAGACTTTGTGAACATACCAATAAATTTCAATTTTGAATGAATGTAATGAAATGCATACAATTTTGTAACTTTACTGACTAGCCTTCCGCCGTTTGTTTGTTTCAGGCAGCTATCCCTTCTCAAAAAAGGATATGATTTTATCGAGTTTAGATTGAATAGCATTGAACTCTGATTCTAAGCGTTCGGATGTTTTTTCAATACGGCATATTCGCTCCTCCATGTTTTCTAGTTTTCGTTGTTCATAAGGCACATTTTCAAAGGCTTTCATCTGCAGCGGAGGAGATAACCCAAGACTTTTCAGTACGGCACATATTGGTGTAACGAGACAGGTATCGAAATTTGTTCCGCCCTCTATTACTCCAATTACACTCAAAGGCATGTTTTCATGACAATGAAATACAAGTGCTCCGGAATCTCCAGCTTCAGCAAATTTAACTCCATAAATTGCCACCTGATTTTGCAATGTGAAGTTCAAATTACCGTGTTTAAAACATGTTGTTGTCATGTCATTGAGAATTTTACCCTTAGTTATTCCGGTTTCAGCTCCATATTTTATCACGTAGGTCTCTGTAGTATTGATAAGCTGACGTATTTCGTCTAATTCCAGTATTTTTCCTGACCAATAAGCAATATCTTCCGTACCTGACAATGAACGGAAAAAACACTATACATAAAAGTAGTTCTTATAAACTAAATGACTGCATTGTTTTTTTCTATCATCATTGTGTATTACTCTAGGAATCAAGATGCATATATATATATATATATTCAACAGAGCGTCCGTAAAGAGGAAATTAGATTTCGCTGGCTGAAATGAAGTTTAAAGCACAAAAGCTTGCCTGCGTAATTCTGATCAATTACACAATTTTATTGATGCAACTTACATGTATGAACAATCTTGTCAAGCAAACTTAAAAGTATTTATATGTAACAATGTGATAAACTCACCTGGAAATCTGCCGTGATTGTCAATTTGTCTATTTTCAATTTTGATCATGACTACTTCTACCCCAGGACAATTTGCATTTCCTTCTTCACAAACAGCTAAAACAATTGATCCAAATCTATGTGGGTGATATGGTTGATAGCATGATAAATCATTGGTTGGTTGTAACGATACACCTCTTCCGATGGCACTCATATCGTTGTCTGAGAGGATGACATGAGCCGATGTAAAACAACAAAGGCCGAACTGTGGATGATCGATAAAACCCCCAAGTGTCCCAGTTTGAATATTTCCGGATGTATCAGTATTGTCCGGAAGGCCCTGTATCAGGCAACCCATCTTTACCTTTTCGTGTATGTCGCGAGAGGTGAGAACGTATGGAGTAAATGCACCTTCACGAATGTCAGTTTTATATCCATCAATTAAATTTGGCAATATATCTTCGTCAACAGGAATCAAACCCTTCACAGGGACATAGAAAACAATACACGGTGTGTACTCCGATTTCGAAATACCGTTGTCATTAAAGCCTTTCGACTTGATCGAACTGATAGAGATTAATGTTATATTTGTATGTTTTTTCAATAATGTTTTTGTATTTCTATCTAATATTGCTCTCATTTCGTTTCTTTGCTTCGCTGTTATTGCTCTTTCGTTTTTAATTATATGGGAGGCTTCTTTGCTCATATCATCGATGCAACGGTGGACGATAGGCCTGTCTTGAATCGTTGGTGATTCACATTTGTTTTTAGTAATAACGACAAAAACTATTTCATTTTCTTTTCCAGGGACATATGCAGCACGAACCTCAATAACAGCGGTATATTCTTTCTGTATTCTTAAACATATTTCAGAACAAAATACTCTGATTATTGCAGACTTTCTTCCGAGAAGCTTACACAGACTATTCAGAAGCCGAGTATCTGGTAAATACCCAATATTAAAATCTCTAACTGGAGTTCTTTGACCTTTTTTGACATTTTCCCAGAAACAGTCTGAAACACGTACAAACATTTTACTAGCACAATTCGTGAAAAAACGTAAATGAATTATTGATTATTGTAAAAAGTAACTGAAATGAACAACATGGATAAAGATTAATATTTTCAATTGCAATACGTTCCTTTATTCATATTTTAATAAAAGAATTATAAAAATAGTACCAGGATATTGTTGGAATAACACAAGCCAATTTCGATGCTCCAGATAAATTTGTGACACAACCACTAAAGTGTAAGATAATTTTGTCAATTTTAAGTTCATATAGTTAAAATACATCCCTAGCAATCAAGAGAATGGAGTAACAACACAGCACAATTTTAATACTAGAAATTAAAGTAGAAAATTAAACGGAATGATGCTACAACCCAATGTCTACAGTCTTAACCGCCTTCAATCGCGCAGTGTATCAATAGGACAGCGTAACAGCTGGCTGGATGAAGAAGGGAAAGTCTGAGCTCATTGCCACTGGTTCTTGTTGCTGAGTGGGGGTTGCGTTCATTGAACGCCGCCTTTCGTTGTGTTGTTTATCTTGTTTATCATATTTTAAGGGCGTTAAGTTGTAAAGACGTTTAAATGTTTGAATAGTAATATATTCAAGCAATTCGCATTAATCATGTTAAACAGAATTGTTTTTCATTTCAAAAACAAGACTGAAATTGATTACGCGATACTTTGCAATATTGATAAGTTCTTACAGTTGTGTACCAAGGAAGGTACATAGACTATGTAAATAGTGAATTTTTGAAACCGGAAACATTTTAATAAAGAACAATTGCAGTGTAATAAGAATTGATCGATAACCATAGGATTGTGTCACAAGAATGTGTTATTCAGTAATGATTTATCACGTACCCATGGAGTAAATCTACCACGGATACATAGAATATGATTCCTTGACAATGTCGTTCATCAGATGGATTACCCATTTTGATGAATAAATTATTTAAACTTAAATCAGTTAAAAACTTGAGGAAACGACTTTGTCCTTTCCATAACATTGCCATCAAATAATTAGAAAAAAGCACTACATACCTAAACTTAACATAATTCCTAAATTCAACATAGAAATTAGAGTAGGTATGTTCATCAACAACACACTATCATTCCATATAGAAAATCTGTGATACTTTGGCAGAAGCTCATATCCAGAATGTGGGTTGCTTTTGGTTTCGACAAGAAGTTGATGGAACCCTATATTGCTGTGAGGATCTGAAAGTAAAGTAGGACACATGGCATCAAATAATTAAATTTAATTTGAAAAAGCAAAATCATTCCCATAATTACTTAAAATGATTTGCACATAGTGGTTAATAATATCGATAATCGTCAGATTTATATCTGAACTTATACATTCATCTGAAGTGGAACTTATTCCAATAGGTGAATAACTTAAAATTGATATTCAGTTAGACAATGAGAATGTGAAAATGATCCCCACCCTCACCAACCTTCCCCCCCCCCCACAAAAAAGAAAGAAACAACAACAAATCAAACGTATTACTAAATTTACAATCATTGTTCTGTCATCATAAATAAAGATTATAATGCAGTAAACTGTTTAATATTTGATAAATATATTTCATGTTCACTACTTTCTTAAATCTTTTCATCGAAAAAATGGTTATTGAAATATAAACACGATCTCGATAATAACACTTGCGTTTCATAAAGTTAATGTCGCATATTTCAATTATTTCTTTTAGTTTTTAGTACGAAAAAAGACCAAACGAACTGTTAATAGTATGCACAGTGTAACATACTTACCTCGCACAAGAAAAATGTACTGTACGATATTCCGTGTTTTATTACATTTCACAACTATAATACGATTTTCAAACAAAAACCGAAACGATCTTGTATAGCAATCATCAAAATATCCAAACGGTACAATATCTGTCATACTTCTTTGTTTTTCTGAAATATTACGTTAAATAATATTATGTTCACAATTAAATACAATTTCCTATATGTACTGTTACACTATGCTTTATAAAAGAAGAAAACATCCACATTTAAGCAACAAAAATGTGATTCAATTTGTTAAAGATGATGATTTTTTAAGTTATTTTAAAACACTTGAATAGCAGATTTTCTTTCTCTTTTTGTAAAAATATCAATAACCATATCCTTTTCCGTGGTGTTACCCTGTTAAGCGATTTCGCTACGCTGTAACCAGATTGAATGTGAACAAGAGCCAGAGTATTTAGTGCCAACGCCGACTTTTTCTTATTTCTAAAGTCAAACACCAGATGTAAAAAAAATATTAAAAACTACTCCTACAAAACATATTTTTTAACAAATATAATGAAAATTTCATGTTTCACATGCGTCATTTTGTCCAAGCATGAACTAAAACTATAAATATATCTCAAAATTATGGCAATTACAGCAAATTTTACACATTTACCTTGACGCCAAGTTTTCTCATATTTTTTTTGCGTTCAAAGTATAAATCAAATTAATAAATAAATAACAAAGTTATGTTAATTTATGCAAATTGATCAATGGCAATGAACCAGACAATCAGAAAAGGATCAAATAGAAGAAATTAGAACACCATTAACACGCACGTAAAATTAAAAAAACAAACGTTGAAATAAACAGTCTTCTAGGGATAAAATTTCATTTTGGCTGGAAAATTTGACATATTGTAACGCAAAAAAGGTTTGTTATGATACCAAATAATGATTTGATTCAACAATTATTACAAGAAGTAATGTAACTTTATCATATCTTAATGTGCAGTACAAAATAAACAGCGGCAACATCTCTGTCGACTTACACCTGCGCTGATGTTGCGATTACATATCTTCTTAAAACTTGAAACCTTTGTAATTATAGCTTGATCTTCTTAATGTGTAATCAATTCCCTACCATTTGAACCATAATATTGAAATTTTGAGTGGCGAGTAGTATACTAGTAAGAAGCGATACCAATTAAGTTATCAGATACCAGTAAATGTATCAGTTTAGTTTATTCCTAACCAAATTATTAAAGCATAAGTAAATGTGTTGTTTTTTTTACCAAAAATGATATAATTGTTTATATGTATGGTGTTGAAGCGTTTCTTTCCAAAACCTTTACTGGTGGACATTGTTGATGCATATGTCACCTAAAATGACATCATATTACCAAATTATTATAAAATAAGTAACAGTCACAATAATAGCATAGGCCTTTCTCATCATACTAGCATTAAGGCGTCTAATGCGATTTTGAAGTGAATTTTGCCATTCTTGGTGCAGAGCTTGTTCAAGTTTTTGCAGGTGACTTCAAATGGTTTGTCCATTGCCTAAATAGAAATTAAAATTTGAGTTGTGGTCATGTCAAAATTGAGGCAAAATCTCTGTGTGCTAAAATTAGTATGACAAGTCAATTTACCCGAGCTGTTAGGTTTCACTGAGGATGATCACGTGACCAAAATCGTACAATGGGCTATTTATTTTGCGGCATGGACTTTCGACAAAAGCAGTGAAATTAAGGTAAGCATACATTTAACGCTAAATTTATATGTTAAACTAGGCCCCGCGGAACCCCCGTATAATAGCCACATATTGTTCTGTTATTGGTTACTTTGTAGCATTCCCTGTTTAGGCAACGAAAACGTTATTTTGGTTGTTGAAAAGATTGGGGAACTTAAATGCGTTGTTTTCAGTAAATGGAACGCATTTTATAACAAAGTGTACACAGATGTAAACTTGTCTGTCATGAACAAGTTCCATCCTTTGTGAACTTGCATAACGAAGTTGTACATATATTTAAAAAAAAATTGATTACAATGGTTGATCGATTTAATTGCCTGCCCAAGTTCGTCCATTTTTTCAATAATTTATAATTATGTTTTTTCTCGACTCTAGTCCTTGAAGTCATAAAAATGTAATGTAGTTATTTAAATTGAAAAGAAAGAAGTATCAAATTGAATAAATTCTGGTTTGCTTGTTATACATTTTCATCTTAATAGTGTTTTGCTTTGATAACACACTAGCACACGTCTACATTAACTTATAGGTATTTACAATATAATAATACAAAAAGTACATCATATAGAATTAATTTCACCAGCAAAACATCAGTTTCAATTTCATACATAAAATGTCGTAAATAAAGTATTTTTTTTTTGTATTTCAGACGCAGAAAGATTGTTCCTCTAAGTGGTACCAATGTTAACGTATATCTATGGAATATATATTGTTTATCGTTCAATACTCCGCAGTGGGTTTATTATATTTAAAGCTTAAATAAAACCAATGATCTCACTTAAAAGTTGAAATACTTTTTACAAATCTGTCTGTCATTTTAAGAGAAGCATGAGATAATTGTCGATCTGCACGAAAAATATCCATTATATAGAACAATACACTTTATTGAAGCATTGCGAAATTTAATCCATTCAATGCATTTATATATAACTAAAATACACTTATAACAATGCCTGTTATGCGACTTGAGTATCAGTTTACTACTTTACAATACCATCTAGTCAAATCTTTGTGGTTTTAACCAGATAAAATTACAGAACTCTTATTATATGTATTATCGGTGTTTAAATATGAATGGTTTTTTTTCCCGTTTTTCTTTCGTTTTGCTTATTCATGCCCTATCCTTCTTAAGTTTATTTTTAAACATTGTCAATATCGCTCCCCGCTATTGAATTACAAAGTTAAGTTGTTGATTTGTACGCAGATCGATACAAACATTCATGGTGTTCATGGCAATATAAGATAAACATGCAATTGAACAAATATAGATTAGTTTTTTGTCTGTCAATGCTTGATCAGCTAAGTGTAAATACATTTTCCATAGATCTAGTATAATGTCTGCATGTCTGTATGTACGTACCTATAGAATACACATTTAAGCGTTGAAATGCCATGAGAAAATGCACATTTAAGCGAAGAAAAAGTTTTGGTCACTTAATATGTAATCAAGTGATATAATTAATTAAAAAAATTAAAAAAAAAACATCAAGCGTTGATAGCATATTGCTTACAAACAAAACCATATATATCATAAAATATGTAAATTGGTCAATAATGTTATGCCGTTAAAACAGATACAGAATGATGATGTTTCTGAAGTAAGTATGTGTTAAATCTATTGAAGATAAGAAAATTTAAATATGAACGAGATAAATGACCATTAACTTTAAACTATTAAATATGATATGGGTGAAACAAATTGAAGGAAGTTGATGTAAATATTTAAGCTGTTACCGGTTTGACATTGTCTGATAATATAAAATTACTTAACTTCCTCCTATATAACAATTTTCACATGATTATTTTCAGTTTCAGTTGTTTTAAAATATTGATAATACATGTTGTACACCAAAGACCCCACATATGTATGTTGTACATGTACCTAAATTCAAATCTTACCTTATAATCATGAAAACAAACTTTCAGAGCAATTTGGATCAAAACAGTAGCCACTAGAGTGTTAACGGGAATATTCTATTTTTAGCCCCTGTGACCAATTTCTTTCATCCCAGATGACCCATTTTCGAACACATCCCAGCAATTGTTAAGAAAAGCATCCTGACCAAGTTTGATGACAAGTGAGTTAAAAATGTGAGCGCTAGAGCGTTAACAAGGTTTTTCTATTTTCAGTTCCTTTGACCGAGATGACCTTTGTTCAAACTAATCCGATCGATTGCCTAGACAAGTATCCGGATTAAATTGATGACAATTGAGTCAAAAATGTGACCACTAGAGTGTTAACAAGGTTTCTCCATTTTTTGCTCCCGTTACCTAGTTTTTAATCCGAGATGACCCATGTTCAAATTCATCCGAGCAATTACTAAGACAAGCATTCTGACACAGTTTGATGATGATTGATTCCAAAATGTGACCGCTAACATGTTAACAAGATTTTTATATTTAAAGTTCATGTGACCTAGTTTTTCATTCGACATGGCCCATGTTCGCACTCATCCGAGCTTAAACCTAGACAAGCATCCTGACAAAGTTTGATGATGATTGTGGCAGAAATGGGACCGCTAGAGAGTTAAGGAACATGGGTGGACGGACAACAGACCACTGACGATGGACATTCAACGATCCTAACAGCTCACCCTGAGCTAGCTCAGGTGAGCTTAAAATGTGCATAATCTCAGACTGCCATAATATCTATACATGTATATCAAATTGATACCAACATTTTCAGTACTTGTTTCGTAATATTTGTTGATGGACGGACAGACTGACTGACGGAGGGTAAACATAAAGTTCCCTCCGCCCCGTTAAGGGACATGAAATATACTCAATAATTCTAACATCAGGTTTTCAGACTTCATTGATTATATCTGATTTAGAAGCTTGCAAAATGGAAATCAAAACTAGACAACCTGTGAAAACATTGAAATTCAAAATATGTGGAGATAAACCTAAATGTACATAAAAATGTAATTCTCACCTGGTGTATAAAAGAAATATTTTCCTTTTAATACATAACATATGTCGTGTAACTTTCATTCGTTTAAATGTTATATCATTATGTAACAAAGAATATCAAAACAGTTCAACAATATCAACCGGTGTCACCGTAACAATTTGTTTTTTTACGTCACACATCCTCAATTCTTTATACATTCAAAATTAAACAAAACTTTATAACTAACAGCCAACTATTAGGGCACAACCATTTGGAATGTGGTTATTGATTTTCCGAAAATGCTAGAAGATTTGATTCGAAAATAGATTTTTCAAGCGGTAGTATTAAGTCATCCATTTTCCGAAAATGGAATGAGTCAGGACGCGGATATTTGATACGTTATCTGCTGTTTGAATAAACTACAGAACGAAAACGTCTATCTTTTGTGTACTGACAACTGATAAACTTACAAACTTGATAGCAGATAAAGTTTTATCATACTTTCCTTTATGTCAAAAGCATTTCCTTTACACTAACAAACAACCAGAGTTAGTTGTAAACCCAAAAGTTATATATTAATACACAAACCTCAATTTAAATACATGATTTAAATGGGTCAGGTATAACCATCATACCAGATACGACATAACAAGTCCATTCACAAGTAAGTTCTTGTAACTCTAAATCAACTACAATTGTAAATTTTTGTGTAAAGACATTTATTTTATCAGGTTATCAGTACACATAATAACTGATTTTGAGATTAAATCACAGGAAAAATATTTTTCTTTTGATTCTTACATAAAAGCATTGCTTCAAAGCGACCCCAGTTGTAACAATTATATAACAATCGTATTGCCCAAATGATGTTATGAATAGCATGAACATTTACGAATAAATCAGTTGTATTTAAGGTTTATAACAAGTGTAGATAGTGCGTTGCCTACAGCTTACAATTTTCACCACCGGCCAAACCACATCAAACCGAATCGCAAGCTTTTAGGTTTCTAGAAGCGTCAGATTATGTTCTCTATTTCAAAGTATCATTCGATCTCCATTGCTGCAAAAAGAAAAAAGTCCTTCAGGCTGACATATTCCGTATTCATAATCAGACTCAACAGTTGCTTGCTTTGTTTCTAATTTTTCGATATTTCCCCGATATTGACTGACACTAAAAGTTTGCAACTTGCTCTTCAGAAACAACAAGCTTCTTAAGATTCAGTATTCCTTCAAGTACAAAAGTTGCTGCCATGCGACAATTGAAAAGCACTGCGCAAAAAATGCGCTCATAACAGAGACCTTACCAAATCATTCCATTATCTATTTAGATTAAATGCTAGTCTACATTATTCCGGATGTTTTGTAAATCAATTAAATTTGCATAATTGTAAATGTAATGTGACATGACAGTAGTGCAACATTGTTATGTTTGTGTCACCACAATAAAAATATGAGATAAGATAAAAAATATCAAAGCATGTGCATTTACTTTTTCACCTAAAAGCACTACTCATTTTCGACAAATGTCAACAACTTATGATGGTAAGAAATATAAAATCCATATGTAAATAAGCTAAAAAAAACTATCATCACCTTTATTTTTCAAAATGTCCGTAGCTCATGTTTCGCTGCAAATAGTATATCATGTTATAACTAGAATGATTTGTTGTTTTCATCTGAGAACAATAGCAACATATCGGCTATTTCCGTCAGTGTTCGGATTAGCTATAATTATAAAAACTTTGCTAGATTTTCCAACGTTAAAGGAACAACGGCCACAGAATGACGAATATACTGAAACAATATCCATTATAAAATCTTCTGCGTCAGATTTATCGGAAGCGTAAAGCGTATTGTCCAAATGAAAAAGGGCTTAACACTAAGCATGCGGTTTGATAGAGTATCATAACCTCCTTTTATAAAACATTTAATTATTTTAGAAAAACAAAAACACCACAACAGTTACTATGACCAAAGTCTAACACATTTTGTAAATAACAGTTCCATAGAAATCTGTTTCGCAGATAGGTCTTCTAACAGCTTTTGAATTTTTAAATTATAGTATCAACTTCTTCTTTCCAATTTTCAAAAATTCTGATTCAGCAATGTTTTGAGATAGTCCCCTGTAAAGTATAACCGTATAGTTCTCTTTGAGAAGTTGCCTAGTAATGAAAATATTATGTTTGTTAAAATCGTTTACATGATTGCAAGCCCTAGCGAATCAAATTAAATATTATTTAGATGTATATACTCCGTAAGATGTTGAAATGGGTGCATCGCCATCTAATGTGGATAATAAACTGTACCACATTTAAAGCATCTCTCTTAATTTATGAATTATATTGTTATTGACTGTAATCTGAATATTTAAAAATAATGTAAAGGTTCAAGAATCCGTTGTATTCAGTTGAAGTACTTGATAATAGTTATAAGACACCGTTTGATAAAAAAAAAAATATTACAAATATCATCAAGGCATCTGATCTATACCATCTTGTTGTGTATCAAGAGAGAAGAGGCAGATAACAATTATACACAAACAATTCGACATGTGAACTTATAGAATGACCAAAGTTTTTTTTGTTTTCTTAACAAGATCTTGTACTTAGGTATTAGACATATTATGTTACAAAATACATAAGCTACATCATCTGTTTTTTTATTCTTTATATGTTGTGTTGAATAACCTATACTGTTGTTTTCCACAGTTATGATAAAAACATAATCCAGTAAATAATGTAGCATTTGTCATAGACAATTGGCTGTCTGTATCATCTGTGTCCAATGTCGATGTCGCAATAAATCAAACAAATGGTTATACCCTACAGTAAACATTGTTCGAAGATTTTATAAAAACATAGCGGTAAAGTACTTGTTGAAAAATATATCCCTTATCTAGTTATATAAGTTTGTGACTTGATTTACCTTAATAACCTAAATTATCAATTTAACACATGAAATAAACATACGGGCATGCTTTCAATAATTGTATTCATGTTTGATTTATAATTATAAATGCATCTTTCTTGGAATATTTTCTGTGTATATTTTGTTTGATTTTATTTATTTTGTCTGTTTATTTCTGTATTTTTGTTGTTCTTGTTCGCGTAAAATGATTGTCTGCCTCAAACTTATCTTTTTGTTGTTATCATGTTAATTTATTGCGTTATATTTCTTAATCAGAAGATATTTTTATCATTTTTTCATTAGAAGTGATTGCAATTTTAACAAAGCATCATCCAATATGGCATCCAACGTTCATGTATGCCCGGCTCTAATATAGGAATTATGTTTTTCAATAGCATACTATAATTGACCGTTTGGATAAAGTTTATAGCAAAAACATTTTTTTTTTCAATATATCAATCTGAAACGGCAAAATTCATGTTATCATAAAAATAACACGTGTCTCCTAATATGGTGAATGGGAGTTATTTCAGTTCTGAGATAGCTAATGTGCACTATAACCGTAAGAGATACGTATTTTTCTTTATCATACTGAACTAATATATCAAACCTTAAACTACTTTAATATAGTAAAAATTCTACGTAAGCAAATCGGTCAGGGGAGAGAACTAGATCTAGAACATTGCGTTTTCTTTAGTCTATACAGATAACCAGCCTTTGGAGAATATTGTTGTACATTTTTGACCGGGGATATTCATTTCGAAATAACACTTTATGATGTCATATTAGGCTATATATAGTAAAAAGTTGACGTGAATTATTATAGTATAATAATACAAAAGACAGCCTTGTTTTTGTTGTTTATATAAAAGATTAATACCGAAACAAATATTAAATGATTTGCAATATGCGAACTTTCGACAAAAATGATGAATTACATGTTTGGTTTTTTTTTTATTATTGAAACATAAAACCATTGTTTCCAATATATAGATATGTTGTTTTGTAATTTTAAGCTTAATTTTTTTTATTCTTACAAATCATATAAAAAACAAGTGTGCAAATGCAAACGGTAATATGATGCAAAGACATGTGTTTCCGGGCAGCGTTTTAAAATAATTGCAAAAGAGAATGGGAAACTACATTAGAATATCTGATTTGTATTTATTTATAAATTTACAACTCAATATTGAATATTGAATTATTTTAAAATATAATGAAAAAAGAAAGTTCCAGCAGCTGCAAATAAAGGCTTTTTAATATAATGATTTTGTCATATAACTGCGAAACCTCTGCACAATGCATTTACAATATTTGTGAGCCTTTTATCCCCAATTAAAGCTGTTTGTGAAAAATGAACAAGTTACAAAATTGCATGTTGAAGATATTTATAAGAAATTTCACAAAAAGTTTATAAGATCGTAATTGTTAGTCACTGGAATTGTCTGGATTGACTTCATCGAAGAATATGTAGGTGTTTACTTATTAAAGGGCAACATGTATTTTCTATCTGAACATGTATTTATAATTTGATTTTTTCTATAAAGCTATATGTAACGAAATATCTTTAACTATTATCAACAGTAAAATTATATTGTTTCGATTATATTTTGGTCGAGTCTCGAAAATGTTGTAACATAAACTGTCTTGATAACTTTAAACACATCAATAGTGTACGTTAACAGAAGAAAAATATAGAATTAACCATTTGGCAATTATTTTGTGCATATGACATACTAGGCAATCTACTGCTATATTTATTTCATTCAACAGTATTTTAAACAGCAGATATAAAGCTCGATACGCTTTTACCAATGACATGATGGTAACATTGCTTAATGCTTTCTTATTTGCAGACTATTACTGAAGAAAAGCATGATAGCAGCAATGTAATAGACAAATTGTTATTCTATCCTTGTATAATGTATTTGAGTTCTAGATTTTCATTCACTGCATATTGCATGTTTGTCACTACTGACAGTTTCCAATAAGCAAAGCATACAGTCATACATTTTTATGTCAAAGCAAACCAGTAGATCACAAATCAAACGAAATTATATATAAAATAATTCTCCTCCATAGTCATTTGCGCAAAATCACATTCAATATAATGTGCAGATAATGAATTGACCATATTCTCGTTCGTATGGTTTTCATTTTGTTAAATCACGAACTTTTAGAAGAGTATAAAGAAATGATTGTATCATTTTTTTTAATTGCCAAGGTGTGCTCGCCGCCTGTTATACATAATTTATTTTACCTGTCCTCTGAGCTTAAAAACCTTGAATGTATAGTTGATAATATTCTCGCTGATAGCTGTTTACATTCTCAAGGCTTAAACATAATTTACTTAATACTCTATAAATAAAGCAAAAGGGTAATAAGGAATGCAAGGATTTCATTTCCTTTCACCTTATTATGATATTGACAAGGTTAATCTAATTGCAATATTT